TACAAATGTCCAGTTTTAGGGTTTTACACAGAATTAAACCAAACAACATGAATCAAACATGCACTTTATTTATTTCCACTAAACAACAAAAGTACATCAAAATGATTGAAGCTAAGGGCATACAAAACTGTCTAACAACTGCATCCATCAAAAATCAATTGATCACATAAGGATTTGGAGGGGGATCAACAGTACAAGATAACAGATTTTTTCACTGAAGTAACTGCCAGTTTCTTGGAAGAAGAAAGATCCCCTAACAGCCCTTCTTCGAACATAACCAAACTCACAAAATCAGACTAACAAAGCTTCTTAGACACCATATTCCAGACAAAACCCAGTTAAACCCCTAAGCTGAATGGCCAACAACCATCAAATTTTCTCATTCAAATTTCTGCCTCTGCATCCTCTCCCTTTACCTTTAGTAAAGCTTGGTTTTCCTTGTTCCACTCTAACTGTTCTTTCCATTAATTCCTCCCAAATTAATGCCAGTCTCACAGAATCCTCAGTAGTAGACCACTTTACTGTTTCTTCCTGTCCATGTTGTTTTGTAGCCCTATGTTGCCAAGTTGGATTTGCTTTTTGTGTATCCAGTATGAGAGGTCCATTACTTGCATATGTCCTCTGTTGATCTTTACTAAAAGTTTTGTTATTGATATATAAAACATTTGTACTGTCCTTTGGGCTTTGTTTTCCTATTACTTGAATGATTTGTTCTAGTTGTATTTTTTCACCTACTTTCGGATTTACTTTTTTGTATTTTAATACTTGTCAGAGCTTAGTTATTTCTTTATATTGTGGATCTTAAATTTGTGTTGAAAATTGTTTCAGAGATCAAACGAAATGGAATTAGAGGCGCTATGGAATAGTTACCTTGCTGCAAATAAGTGTTTTACTGAAATGGAAGCTCAGAAGAAGAGTATAATAATACGGAAGGTGTGTTTTTCAGGATGCATGTGGTCTGTCCATTTCTATGTCATATTCTTTGTGTTTGAAGGCAGAATATTCAATTTATATTCTTGCTCCAGGAATCCAATCTGAACCGTATTAAAGAGCTTGAGAGGGAGCGCGATGCAGAGGAATCACAGCTTTCTAACTTCAATTTGTCTCACATTGATGAAAGGGAAAATAAGCTGGTGAACTCCTGTTTAAGTATTGTTGCTTAATTTCACAGCCTAGCTTATTCTTATCATCTTTCATGATTGCTTCATTTTCTTCTCAATCAACTTGTAGAAAATTGAGGTCGAGAGGAAGGCACGTCAACTTGAAGAAAGAGAGTTTGACTCAAATATTGAGCAACTAAGGACTGAAATTTATAGCTTAGAACAGAAAATTAGAGTTCTTAATCAAGAGAAGGACTTCATGGCTCGTGATTTGGAAGATAGAGCGAAGCTTAGTTGGAAGAAGGAGGAATTGGAAAGTCAAAAGAAGAAACATAGAAAGATGCAAGACTTTTTTTTCATTTTTATTTTTTGGTTTAGTATTTGTTGTTCATAATGTTCCTTGAAGATATAATCTACATATTCTTCTTCAGGTTGGTTTTTGGAGACTGACACATTCTATTTATTTCAGAGTAGACGAGTACAAGGATAGGATCAGGGGGGTGCTCAAAGGGAGACTTCCTTCTGACAAAGATTTGAAGAAAGAAATCACACGAGCCCTAGAGTTGTTCCTGAACTCATTCGATCTGTATCCTAAATGTGTTTTATTCTTGAGATAACTGCATAGCTGTGATTTAAACATTGACATGACAATCAAGGCCTAAAGTGCTGGTATTGATGGAAATGACAATGCCCTAAGAATAGGAGACATGCTGGAAATATTGGAAATATCATATAGAAATATTGTAAAAATTATGGAAATGAGGTAAGCATTGTGAAACCCTTGGAAATATTTAATGATATTTTAAGAAGTGATAAAAAGAAGCATAAATGTGCACTTATATTATCGCGTTGTTATAAAATATCATATGAGAACAAGGAATATAAAGTAAATATGCGGAAGCATATGCTATTGGAGTTTCCTTTGGTATCTAAGAATCAAATCAATAATTCCATATTAAAAAATTAAAATTCAAGTACATATTTTGACAAAAAAATTGTGAATCCATAATGTTAGATTAACTTAAGAAGTATAAGATTATTTGTGTAACAAAAACTAATGGTAGATGATGTTCCAATGATAATATAAAATTCTGCAATTACATTCATATATTATTTAGTAGCCACCTTTATTAAAACATTCCTTTTATTTTTTTTAAATAACTATTTTTGAGCATTTATTTAATATTGCATGAATAATTTATGACTTGAGGGTGGCTGAGGAGGTGGCCAGTGAAGCATCTCCCTTGGAATTGTTTACAAGTGAAGGGTCATTAATTTGTTGGCCTGGATACCTCTTGTAATTAGATTCTTTTTGTATCTAATAAAGCTTGCGATCAATTTCTAGCTGTTTTCTAAAAACTGTCCCAGTTGTTTATCCAGATGGCTGGCTGTGTATGGTTGATTTAGCAATTTAACTAGGTTAGCCTGGTGAAATGATCAAAACCATTGAAAGCTTAGGACCTGGTCATTTGTCTGATTGACCAGTCAACCTCCTTTGTGAATGGTAGTTTCAAACCACTGGTTTCTAGAAAGGAGGTGGTGAAGGTGGATAGGGCCAATGACCTTGGCTTGGGGGTGGTGGTGGACCATGACTTGGTTACAATGTTTTTTTTTTTTTTTTTTTTTTTTTTTTTTATATCAGCAACAATATTGGCCTTTTTCTTTATAAGTATTAATGTGCAAGCATATGATGTTTATGGAGTTTAAGTGAATGAGAATGGAGGTAGAGTCGGCAGGAGTGAGATTTCAGGTGATGAATGGTGGCTTTAGCGAGGTATATTGGGTTGGGACCTGGATGGTAGCTAATCCTAATGAGGAATTCCTGAGGGTGCTTAATGTCACAAGGGGAACAAGGGTGGGGAGAAGAAAGGGAAAGAGGGTTTTGAATATCTGTTAGGGATGTTTGTGTATGTGTTATTTTATTTATCTGTTAGAGTTGGGCTTGTATGTGGGTTTTATCCTTTTCAGCGGTTATCTGAAAGTGTGGTTTGTCGGATCTGGCACATCACCTTTTTTATTATTTTTTTTGGAGGGGGGGAGATACTGTGGATCGGTGATTGTTTGGCTGTATGTTTTCTGTTTAGTTTTGGTACAGAGGAGGAAAAGACCTATGTGGTGCTTATTTCTGTCTTCCCTGTAACGCTAATGGTGAGTCTTCCCATTATTAAGTTCCTGTCCTTTTGTTTTTCCAATTTGGGAATGGTTTCTTTCCTTATTTGGGTGTAGGTGGAATCCCCCACCAAACATAAAAAGCTTGTTAGATCCTACCTTTGTTAGCTGGCAGAAAAGAAGGGGCAAAATTTTATGGAGGTGTATAAGAGCTACCTTTGTTCTTCTTCTCTTTCATTCAGCATCAGTTAAGCTTCTCTTTCTGCCTTCTTGGACTATTGTATGGTTTTTCTTCCTGGACTGTTCTGATCAAGACAAGCAAACCTGTTCTTCCTGGATTGGGATGACATTCAGGTTAGTATCTTGATGATTTCTCTGAAGTGGCTGATCCATTTGATCTGAAACTCTGGATGTAGTGTCGCCCTAGGCCTCCATCCCTTAAATTTTAGTGAAGATCTGATCTGGTTTGCTAGGGTTACCTTCTCTTGTTCGGTTCATCTGTGAACCTTCCTCTTTTGGACCGTTAACACAATTTATACTTGTTTCTGGCCTGTTAGAGGTTATTTTCTCCATTTTATTTCTTACAATGACATTTGAAATTGGTGATGTGCTTCCTATGAAGTTTGATGGAGCCAACTATGCCTTATGCCAGTTCCATTAGTTCTATGTTGATGAAAAGGGTTTGTGGGGGCATATTGATGGAACCACCGCCATGCCTGAAGCAACTGGTGCAGAAGGGCTGCAGACTTGGAAGATTAATAATGCCCAGATTGCATCCTAGATCCTTAGCTTAGTCACTATAGATGTTGCTATCACTATGAGGGGTCTGTGGACAACCAAGGAAATATACGAATATCTGGAAAAGGTTTATCAGCAGTCTAACATCTCAAGACAATATTAGATTGAAACTGAGATAGTTTCTTACAGTCATGGTGAAAGGAAAGTTAGGAGTACTATGCTGGCTTTGTCAATCTTTRGACTGAATATGAGCTTATTCACATTGGAGAGATGTCTTCGGCTTGCTGTGTTAAGACACTGAAGGAACATTTCGATAGGAGGAAAGTAATGCATTTCTTGATGTATCTCTGTCTTGGATATGAGAAATAAGATCGAACATTCTATGTAGAGACACTTAACCAACTCTTGATACTATTCTTGGTGAATTGGTTAGAGAAGAAACCGGGATAATCACTTAATCAGCAATGAATGTGAAGAGTGATGGAATAGAGATTGTGTTTGTTCATGTGGTATCCCATTGTAGGAAGAACACATGTACTTATTGCAAGAAATTTGGACATATCATCACTGAATGCCCCACATGACCACCTAAAGGAAATCCATGTGGTGGAAAGAAGAATCAACCCAAGGCTTATCAAACTTAAGTTGAAGGATTAGATGATGCTTCATCTTCTATAACTCAGATCAATAATGATACTACAAATGTTATGACTGAAGAGAAAATTCGACAATTGATGTCCTCAGCAATTTCCTTTCCTTTTCTGCTTTTGGCTTGTCTGGTAAGTGTACCTACCCTTGTGCCTCTCCTAATCATCTCTAGATCATAGATTCTGGTGCTTCCAATCATATGATAGGAGCCACTTTTGATCAGTCTTCTTACCCTCTCCCCTTTAATTAACACATTGTCACAACCAATGGTGAGAAACTTGATATTGTAGGTTGTAATGATGTTACCTTGTCCACTTCTTGCTCTTCCCCCTTAAGGTTGTCTCAAACTTTATTTGTTCTTAGACTTATTACCAATTTAATATTTGTTGGTCAACTTGTTGAACATGGTCATTTTGTCACCTTCTCACATGATGGTTGCCTAATAAAGGACTAGTACACTGGGGAGGTGAAGGGGAAGGGGCATATATTGGGGTGGTTATTCGCTCTAGAAATTGAGAAGAAGCTAGCATCTCCTGCAATTTGTTCCTCTTGTTTACTTTCTACTATTTTCTTGTCTTGTAATTATGATTGGAATATTTGACACCGTCGTTTAGGCCATCCTTTTGCAAAGAAACTTGTTTCACTTATTTCATTTGGATGTTTGCCTTTATCTGCTTTTGTTTCAAAGAATATTGATAAAACTTGCATGTCTTGTTGCTTGAGTAAAGGTCATGTTTTACCATTTCCTACTTCTACTCGTGTTACTGTACCGTTTCAGTTATTGCATAGTGATGTTTGGTCATCTACAGTGATTTCCTAAATGGGATTAAGATATTTTATAACCTTTATTGATGATCATACAGGTTATACATGGATATATTTTCTTCATAAGAAATCAGATGGTTTTGCTATGTTCAAGCTGTTTTATGCCAGGGTTGCCACATAGTTTAATGCCACCATTCATACTCTATGTTTAGACTCAGGGGGAGAGTACATTGATGGGGGAATTTCAAGCCTACTTGCAACATCATGGTATACCGTCCCAGAAGTCTTGTCCTTGCTGAACGAAAAAATGGCCCATATCATAAGTGTTGTTAGAACCCTTCTAGACTCTTATGCTCCAGCTACCTTTTGGGTGGAGGCTATCAGCACTTCTGTGCATCTTATTGATTTTCTTTCATCTTGGTAACTTGTCCCCACATCAGTCCCTTTTCAAAACTCCTTCCACTTATCTAGTCTCATGTATTCGGTTGTATCTATTTTTGTTCATCTTCCTCCACATGAGCGTACTAAGTTATTTGCTCAGTTTGCTTTATGTTTCTTCCTGGGATATAGCCCTGATCATAAAGGGTTCATATGTTATGATCCACAATCTCATCGGACTAGAATCCTCGGAATGTGATATTTCTTGAAAGTCTCATTTTTCAACACATCACCAATTTTTCTGCTCCTTTAGTATCTATTCTGCAATAATTTGAGCCTGTAGGTATTTTAGAAGCACCATCTCTTTCTTAGTCACTCATCAGAGTTATTTCAGAAAGTAGATAACACCATCTCTTTCTTAGTCACTCATCAGAGTTATTTCAGAAAGTAGATTACAACTTCAGCCCCAATGCTCCCAAGCTCTCCTCCTCTAGAGCATGGTACAACGTCTACCCCTATCCCTATAGGTATGCCATCCCCTCTTGTTGATATTGATATTCCTTTAACTGATGTTCCTACCTTACGTCATTCCACTAGTCTCTAGACCACCTAATCGTTATGGTGTTCCCTCAGACCATAGTTCTTTTTCTACAATGCTGTCCACTACAGATATTCCTAGGTCTTACCAGCAAGTCGTAGTTCACACTCATTGTAGAGATGCCGTTGGCATTGAGATAGCTGTTCTCCTTGAGAATGACACTTGGGAGTTAGTTCATCCTCCCAATGTTTCAATTATAGGAAGATGGTGGGTATATTTAGTTCAATTGAAGTCTGATGGCAGTTTGGACAGATACAAGGCTAGATTGGTTGCTTAGAGATTCAAGTAGGAATATGGGATTGACTATGAGGAGACATTTGCTTAAGTGGCCAAGATGACCATGGTCCTTCTCCTTCTGGTTGTTTTAGTATTGAAGAGTTGGGTTATTCACCAAATGGATGTAAAGAATGCTTTCTTGCATGGAGATTTGAAAGAGACAATGTACATGAAACATCCTCCTGGCTATTATAATGAGCCTCATCTTGTTTGCACACTTAAGAAATCTCTTTATGGCCTTAAACAGGCCCCTCATTCCTGGTTGAAAGGTTTCAATCTATTATCAACGATGTTGGGTTTATTCAAAGTTCTTTGGATTACTCCCTCTTTACCTTACAACGTTTTCAAGGTATTATTACCTTGTTGCTCTTATATGTTGATGACATTCTCATAACCAGAGATGATCAAGATAGTATACATCTTCTCAAACATATTCTTACTCAATCCTTTAAGATGAAAAATCTAGGACCAGTTACATATTTCTTGGGCTTGGAAGTTCATCACAACTCTAGTGACTATTTCCTTAATTAGTAGAAATATGCCACTGACCTGGTCAAGCTTTCTCATCTCAGAAACACTATGATTGGTGATACCCCACTGGAAGTTAATTTGAAGTTGAGTAACGATGATGGTCTTCTTTTAGAAGATGCCACTCTCTATCATCGGCTTGTTGGCTGTCTTATCTACTTCACAATGATGCACCCAAACATCTCTTTTGCAGTCTAGATTGTAAGCCAATTTGTCTTTGCTCCCCGTCAACCTCACATGACAGCTAAGCACTATATCATCAGATACATTTAGGGGACCGTTTCCTATGGTGTGTTCTTCCCATCTACCTCATCTCTTCAACTATCAGCTTATAATGTTGATTAGGGCCACTGAGCTGGTTGTCCAGATGCTAGGCGATCGACCATAGGGTGGGGATGTCCTTCTAATTTCTTGGACATGTTAGAAGCAACAAGCTGTCTCTAGGCCATCCATTAAAGCAGAATATAGAGCAATGTCCTCAGTAGGCAGTGAGGTTATTTGGATCTAGTCACTCCTACATGATCTTAGTCATAGTTTTCAAGGTGCCAATGCGAGGCTAGGTGGCCATGGGGCGCCCAGGTGCCTAGGTGGGCGCCTAGCCCTTGCTTAGGCGGTGGAATTTAAAAATAAGGCTTGCCAATGGATTTTTACCCCTTATGAACTAGTTTTTTGGTTTTATGTATTTTGTACTTACTTTAGTTTTTGTGTTTCTTGCAGTGTTGCTTCAAGTAGGCAAAACAATATATTAGAGTTGCAACTTACAAGTTAGAAGTTAGAACTTAAAAGAACTAAAGGGGGCGGAGCCCCTATTTTAGATTAACAAAACATAGGGAACAAATAGTAAAATAAAAGAAGAAAATGAAGAAGATAAGTAGGGGGCGGAGCCTCTGTTCTAGACCTAGAAAAGCTGGTGAAAAAATATTAAAATAAAAGAAGAAATATGAAGAAGAAAAGAAGGGGCATAGCCCCTGCTTCAAACAACAATGATGAGAACAAAAAAAGATGAAAAAATGCAACAGATTAAGAACAAAAGAAGGGGGCGACGCCCCTATTTCTAGACCTAGAAAAGCTGGTGAAAAGATACTACAATAAAAGAAGAATGAAAGAAGGTGCGAAGCCCTTGTTCCGCCCCTGTTTCAGACACCAATAATGAGAAAAAAATTGAAAACATGCAAGAAATTTAAGAACAAAAGAAGGGGGTGGAGACCTTGTTTTAGTCCAATAAAATGATTCAAAATGTTAGGCAGTGTATGCCCTTAGCTCCAACCATATTGATGTACAGATGCATTTATTGTAAATGAATAAAAGTATATTATTGTTTCATGTTGATATTGGTATGCTTTTTTGAAATTACCCTTTAAACTGGACACTTATGAGACTTGTGTTAGTTTAGAATGTTCTTAGTAGTTGGAGAGACTTGGGGAGTTTATCATGCCAAGGCTGACATTGATGTGTGCTACCAAAGAAGTTGGAGTAGCTTGTCTCAGTTGTTAGGGTTACACCCAAAGCACATGCAGTGTGTGTCTGGATGAAACACTGAACCCGAAGCATTTTCCAATTATGCCTTGGACTTTGGATATTGATGGGCAAAACTGGAAAGTTACACATAACCCCTAGACTTGATTATAGTACTGCACTGGGTGTTGATTGGTCTATTTTTGATATGCCAATTAGTGAGATCCATCAAGGGTCAAAACCTGGGTATGTTGGGGCAGTCTAAGAATTCATCTGAGTGGGTGGTAATAGTGATAGGATCGGCCCCTTTGTCGGGCAAAGTGAATGATAGGGCTTATACTCTCTCTGATGGCCGGTAGTGGATTTCAACTGTGTTTGAGATTTGTTTTTGCATAATATATTTATATGATATATTATGTTTTATGAAAAATGTTTGCAAAAGGTTTTAATTTCCGGGATCCATTCAAGCATAGAGTGTGACACTGTACCTTGCAGTCAGTGGAGAGGTCATTCCTTGTTGGGCAATGTTGTGATCATTATGGGCTGAGAGGTTAAGTGTAARAGACCATTACAGGGCTGATTACCTGGTGGGCTTTATCTTATTTAAGTTCATTATCCTTGGATCTTCACAGGATGGCTGAATTCAATGATCATTTAGGTGTAAATGTTGGGTCCATATTGAGCCCATAGTGATGTGTTCAGGGGTTCATTGCATTTAGCAGTAAATTCGGCTAAGCCTTTTAATAGAGGCTGGGCCGAACCCATGTGGAGTTATGTGAGGTCATTGTAGGGTCCCATGCCATACAAATTAGGCCTAAGTTGGCCATGCAACATCTTGGGTTGTGGGCCTTTGAAGGAAATGGGCCTAAAGCCCATAATTAATAAGATTAAACTGCCACATGACAACTTAGCTCTAGGTCAAATCTGGGTTTGGAAATGGGTATGGTGCACCCATCCTTTTAAGAGGATAAAGCTTATCTCTTAATAGAGTCCAGATCCAAATTAGGTTTGGATAATCTCCTAATTTGATTAAGAGAGTGCTCCATAAGGAGATAAAAGAAGAACAGGGTGAATCCGATTAGGAGACCTCTCTCTCTTGTTCTCTTTTGTTCTCTTTTGTCTCCTAAGAAACCCTATCACGACCTAGGCTTTCAAGGATTGATAGAAATCAGTTTTCTTCTGATCTTTGCAAGAAAAATTTAGAGGAATTTCAGGTTCACCTTCCCTAGTTCGATCGAAGTAGTTGGGTTGCAGTTTTGCTGAAAACTGTGTTGCTGAATCAGCTTCACTTATACACTGCACCATTTTTAGTGGAGGCTGGTTTTAGGACTGATGTTATGCATCTTTGTTCTTCTTAATATAAAAGATTTTATTAAAAATAAAGAAAAAGTGAGGTCCCCCCTTCCTCTTCATCCTCCTCCCCTTCCTCCTCCTAACCCCCCTCCTCTTAAGGAGGCTTATGCCTCCTTGTGTTCGGGAGGCTTACGCCTCTTGCATTTTGAACTACGCCTCATGCCTCTAGGTAGTGGAACGCCTTGCGTCATGCCTCCACGTTTTAAAACATTGCTTTTTAGTGAATCTGGTTAGTTACTAAAAACATTATTTGTTTATTTCCTACTTAGCCCCTTGTGGTTCCTCCCTGGGGATTTTCTAAACCACAACAAAATGTGAAACTTATCATATTTCTAGTCAGATCACATTGAACAAGAACCATGAATTAAATTCATTCTACTTTATATCATTTATATTATGCTTGCCTTTATTTTTGTGCCAAATTTTATGATTTGTTTCAGAAATTTGCCTTGTGTGAAATCCAAGGTTCAAAACATCGATATGGGCTGATACGCCAGTAGGGGATCGAAGCTCGCCCACCTTTTTTTCTTTGAAACTGGTTCAGAGGGGTTGGTGTAAGGCTGGTCTACCCCATGAACCAGGTCACACCCCGATACGACCCCTGTAGGGGGCGTATCGTTAAGCCTCCGATACGATACTATATGCCTGATACGGGGCATATTGTATCGAAATTTTGAACGTTGGTGAAATCCTTTCTAATGTTCCTTCAAATCTCTTTTCTTGATGGGTCTTGGTTGATGCAACTTTATTTTATTTTTTCTTTTTGTTTCTGAATAAGATGTTCAGGAATGCCATTGGCTTCTGCAGTAATATGTGGTGCATTACGAAGGATGGTTTTACATTGTTTTTGATCCTCTGTCAGCTTTTCATTTTGTTCTTAGCATGAAAATGTTCCTGCTGCAGGTCCCTCAGAAAGGAATTCAATGATTTGAACTCAAAGTACATTGAAGCAGAAAAAGAAGTGAACGTGGTAGAGACAAAAATAGAAGATACTAACAATAATCTGTCAAAGCTTCAAAAAGAATTGGATGGTAATTACGTCCTTTCTTGATTAATAATCAGGTCCCTGAAATTTGATGTTTCTATTTCTATTTGGGTATAATAATTTTGAGAGGGCAGTTATCTCCTTATCAAATCATATGTAGTATGTTACTTAGTATTTTATGTCAGTTTCTGTGGTCAATGGATGCCCACTTGACTTCAACTGCTTTTTAATCTGCAAATTGGTCGAGGAGATCATACCTTACTTGAATATTGAATCTCACTTCGATGTATTAAAATCATCAGCTGTATGATATAGGATTTTATGCTTACCTCATACCAAGCTTTTTATGGTATGCTTACCATAGCCAGTCCACCCCTCCCAGATAGTTCGGGCCAAGATTGGGTAATAGCCTTTTTTATGTCATTTATGAATGCAATATATAGCTGCCAGATTACCCCCGTTTGTAGCCAGACAGCTGATCCAGCCAGCAAATGATCACCTTGAAATCAGATATTGTGCTTTGTGCACCAAAAATTATAAAGGAAACCCTATATGTGAAACCCTATTTGGGTAATGGCCTTTTCATGTCATTTATGAATGCAATGTATAACTGCCAGATTACCCCTATTTGTAGCCAGACAGCTGATTCAGCCAGCAAAAGATCACCTTGAAATCAGATATTGAGCACCGAAAAATATAAAGGAAGAAAACTAACTCATCAAAATATGACCTCTGGTTGTCCACTCTCCTGCAACTCGCAAGAAAGGAACAAAGAAATGGGCACTCAAATAAAACTTTATCAATCAAAACAAAACACCTTTACATCAATGAGCCACCTTAGAAGTGTTACATTCAATTATGAGTTCCTTCTTTCCTTTTCCATAAATATTCTTGAATTCCTTTTTTCGCATTTTTTGTAAGCTATAGCAGCTCTAGTACATCTCTACATGATTCTTCCCCATTGTTTTGGCCACACAAGGGTTGTTGAAGCAAACAAGCTTGGTACATCTACCAAAATATGGGACATATGTTGGAAATGTTGAGGGGAAATATTGTAAAAATTAGAGACATTGTGGAAATATTATGAAATATGTGGAAATATGCAATGATATTTTGTAAAATGATAAAAGAAGCATTAATACATATTTCTAGACTATTATCTTATTCCCAACCATTATATAAAGCTAAGAAACTAAGATCAGTAACAAATTAGTAAGTCACGATTTACTAATTTATTATGCATTTTGATGTTTTTACAAGGTTATCCGATATTTTCTTTTCTTATTTTTATTTCTGATTTATTTATTGCACACTAGTAAATAGAAATACATTTATTCTGATTTTTTAAATATTAAAGTTATAATACACTATGTTTTATTATAAATTTAATAAATTGATTCTCCTTTTTGTAGTATTAAGATTATGATAAATTCTGATTTCTTATAAAACTTAATGAATTTATTATGATTTTTAATACTAAATTTATAATAAATTATGATTTAGTATAAAATTTAATAAACATTTTCTGATTTTAATAAATATTTTAAAGATACTAACTAGTTAATATTTTATGCTTTATATTATAAAGTAATTCATTTATTCTTTTGTTTTTATTTTTTGTTAATTTTTTTTTTATAAATATTTTATTTGAAATGTTAAATAGGAATTATTAATGGAATAATTTATATTGTTATACTGTAATATATTAATATAGTATACTAATATATTTTTTTATTAATGTACATTAGTCGACATCTTGTCGACATTATAGGAAAAACTGCCTTTTTTCGTTTATTTGGATTGATTTGGTCGAAATTTCCGAAATATAGGAAATGTCGACCGAAATAATGTAATTTTTATATTACCATCCATTTTCATGTTGGTGGGCCTCAACATCGACATATGTCGGGTGACATTAGCGAAATGGCACTTTTATGCTTGCAAAACGTAGACCGTAGTCTAAATGTTTACTTGCTGGTGAGTTATGCAATTTGAGCCGAAACTGAGGAGAATACGAACGAAGTTGTCTGTTACTATATTTGCAACCTAAATTTGAAGTTCCAAAAACTTGCTTATTTTTCTTGATCTTGGTTTCTTCAGAATGGTATTTGATGGTTTACTTGATTATAGTTGTCAAGGTGTCTAGGCGATTCTAGCAACACTAGGGCGCCTAGTCACCTAGTTGCACAATAGAAATTTTATAATATGAAGAATAACTTTTTGCTAGTTCCTTGTATACCATTTAGCATGCCTACTAACTGAAAAAATAGCAAGTCTCTTTATTAAGAATATTAAATTTCCCCTAAAAATGTGACAAATCATCATATTTATAAGATAATAAGTTTTTAATATAGTGATTTCATTATTTGCAAAAGTAATACTACTATAATAAGTATTTAATAGTGCAATTTCATATGAATTAGCAACTAAAGAAGGTTATTAACTTTATAAAATAAAAATTGAAGATGGAAAGTAAAATAGAAAAAAAAAACAGGGATGGAGTTGCTATTCTATTTAATTGATAAGTGGGAGAGAGAATAGAAAAAAAGAAACCTTTCTAAGTGGTTGCATGTTCTAGGCCAATTTGTGTTGGAATAGGGTTAGAATCCATCAGATGGATGGTCAAACCATGCAAGATGGCTGGATGGAATTTCAAAAAATTTTCTAACCTTCTTGGGAATTGGTTTCCCGATAAATTGAAAATTGAAATTTCAGGATCGTTCTTGCATTGAACCGGACCAAAATTTAAACCAAAGAGAAGGGAGATTATACCTGATACGGTGACCACAAATTGTAGCTCCCAAGGTGGTGGTAGTTCACACTCAATATCAGTCATAAAACCAGCCTCCAATTGAAGATGGCGTAGTGTACAAAGAATCGATTCAGCAACACTTGATTTCAACAAATCTGCTATCCAGCTTGTTTGGATCGAGTGGGGAAATTGAGCCTGAAATTCTTCTTAGTTTTTCTTGCAAAAACAAAGAAGAGAACTGATCAAAATCAGTTCTTGAAAGCCTAGGTCATTCTAGGGTTTCTTGGGAGACAAGAGAGAAAAAGAGAGAACAAGAAAGCGAGGTGTTCAAGTCTAGTTCGCCCTCTTCTTCTTTTATCTCTTAATGGAGCACTCTCCTAATCTAATTAGGAGATTATCCAAATCTGAATTGGGTCTGGACTCTTTTAACCAAGGTTTTCGAACCGCTGTTGACCCAGACGGTCGGACTGTTCGGCCGGTTTATGGTAAAAAACCGTTGAAAAAGTCAACAACCTATTATTCGGATGGTCGAACCGTCGACCCATTGAGCAGTTTTTGACCTTTTTAATTTTTAATTATTTAATTTTTATTTTTTTAAATTTGTTTGTTAGAACGGGCCATCTGTTTAAACCGAATGGTCGAACCATCGACCCGGAAATTGGTGGCCAGAACGGTTCCGTTTCCAAGTCGTTTTTTAAAATGTTGCTTTTAACAATTAAACATTATCCTCTTGAGAGGATAAGTGCTTCATACCCAATACCAAACCCACATTTTACAGCTTAATTAATCTTATTAATATTGGGTCTTTGGCCATTTTCTTCAAAGGCTCATGACCCTAGGTGTTGCATGGACACATTAAGCTTGGTATTGTATGGTGTGGGACTCCACAAAGGTCTCTCTCAAGTCCATAGGTGCCCGGTCCCACCTCTGTAAGAGGTTAGGCCGAATTCACTGTTCAGAGTAGTGAACCCTTGAGCCAATTAGCATGGGCTTAGTTTGGGCCCAACATTTACACCTAAATGATCATTGGATTCACCCACCCTATGAAGACCTAGGGATAATGGACTTAATTGAGATAAAGCCCATCATGTAATCAGCCTTGTAATGGTCTCTTACACTTAATCCTCTTGGCCATGATGATAACAACATTGCTTGACAGGGAAGGACCTTTCCCTTGGCTACAAGGTGCAGTGTCACACTCTCTGCTTAGATGGATTTTGGGATTAAAACCTTTTGCAAACCTTTTTCATAAAATAGTAGTATATAATATATAAATACATTTTGCAAAAACATATTTCGAATACAGTTGAAATCCATTGCCGATAGTTTATGTTTCCATCAGAAAGAGTGTAAACCTTGATATTCACTTTGTCCGACTGAGGGGCCGATCCTATCACTATAATCACCCACTCAGGTGAATTTCCAAACTGCCCCAACATGCCCAGGTGTTGACCCTTGATGGATCTCACTGATTGGCACATCGAAGACAACCTAGTTCAACACCTAGTGTAGTACCATAATCAAGTTTGGGGTTCTGTGTAACTTTCTAGTTTTGCCCATCTATCTCCAAGGTCTAGGGCATAACTAGAAATCGGTCCGGGTGAAGTGTTTCTTCCAAACACTGCTTGTGCTTGGGGTCTAATCCTACCAGCTGAGACAAGCTGCTCCAACTGTTTGGTAGCATACCAGCCTTGGTAGGATAAATTGCCTGAATTGGAACAATTTAAGGGGTAATTCACAGAAAACATACCAATATTAACATGAAACAATAATGTACTTTATTCGTTTACAAATAAATGTTTATGTACATCAGTCTGATTGGAGCTAAGGGCATATACTGTCTAACACTTTGTTCCTTCGTTTTGTACATCTGTATGAGTTTCATTTGTCCAAATCTGTCCCTGAATATCCTCATATTCCTTATCGTATCAAGGTTGATTTTATGTTTCAGATCTTGTTAAAATCTTCAGTTTATATATCTGTTTCAGTACACATGCAAATTTGATTCTTTGTTCTTCTAGTCACTATGAGGTTTTATTTCACCTTGAGCAAATTTGAAATTTTAGAAAGAGAAAAGAATGTAAATAGCAAATTGAAACATACTTGTGGAAAGAGCTTTAGTGTACCCGTACATTATATCCCTATATTCTTGCAATTTTTTATATGTTTTGGTGGTTTAACTGCTCCAATAAGCTCATTTTTCTTCTGTGCTTGTCATTGTTTCTTGCAGCAAAGAAAAAATTCATTGATTCAAAACTCCAATCATTGATTAAGCAGTCTTTTGATATTGATTCTTTTCCTCAAGTCTTCGATGAGGCTAAGGAGAAAAGAGATGTCAAGAAAAGGTTTCTCATTGTCTGTGTTCAGAAAGTAGTGAGGTAGCTTAAGTACTATTCATGTATATATATAATTTCTCATATTACCTCTTTTGCTTATCAAATGCAGCAAGTACAACATTGCAGATGGTATGCGACAAATGTTTGATCCTTTTGAAAGAGTTGCACGTGCACACCATGTTTGTCCCTGCTGTGAGCGATCTTTCTCCCCTGAAGAGGAGGATGAGTTTGTTAAAAAGGTGAGTATGCGGGCGATGCATTACCTTGTATCTCACAGATCATGAACCTCTTCTATGCTGACTATGTACTGAAGATTTGATCTGCCTATGTATTTTGTAGCAAAGAGTAAAAGCAGCAAGTTCTGCAGAGCACATGAAGGTTTTGGCTGTTGAGTCTTCAAGTGCTGACTCACTTTTCCAGCAGTTGGACAAACTTTGTACTGTGTATGAGGAGTATGTTAAGCTTGGCAAGGATACAATTCCTATGGCAATGAAAAATTTGAAACAACTGAAGGAAGATCTAGATCAGAAGTCTCAGGCGCTTGATGATGTAATTTTCTCTTGTGGCTTCATATTGCTTATTTTACTGGTGTTTGCTTTTTTTTTTTTTTAATCAATTCATCATATTCTGTTTATTTTGTATCTTTTGGAACATTGCTGTGATCTTTCTCCTGTCTTGTCTTGCTGGATTTGGTGCTTATCTTGAACAATCTGTAACTTCTTCCTTGCTTTGAATGATGAATACCTAAATGCATCTTGTCTTCTCTGTAATGGTTTTCCTACTCACCTATGTGTGCATTTTGTCTGTGTTGAAAGTTTATCTTTTCAAATTAGTTATAAAAGAAATTGATCTAAATAATTATTCTATATGAAAAGTCAAGTAACAGCATTAAGTGTGGCTATTGATAATCATTTTAAGATGATACACAGCTTTTGGTTCTGGAAGAATGAACTGGCTTTGATTATGCACAATTGGTTGTTTTCTTCAGGTTGCTACTGTATTGGATAAATTAATGTTGTCAAACTTGGACCTGTTACAGAATCTTTTTTTTAACTAGGTCACCATTCTAAGTCAAATAAAAATGGCAACGAAAAGCCAATAGTTCAAGATTATATTTTAAAGCTGCTTTACATTAAAATAAGCTTAAAATAATAAATTGTTGAGATATGTATATTGTAGTGTGAGGGCTATTTTGCTACTTGTACATGTTCTAATGAGGGGTACTTTAGTCATTGTTTGAAACTCTTATATAAATGCTAATTATAGGGTCATGAGATAGAGTTGAGATTTTTTTTTTTGTTTTTTTCCAGAAAAGGTAAACTGTTAATGCATTAGTAATCAGAAGAAAGAGTACATTAATGATGTGCATCAAAAGTAAAACAGCAAATCTCTGTAGGAACTACACAGACAGAGATTGTTACTATACAAAAAAAATCCTTGTGCACACCAGCTTTAGCTAATCCATCAGCTATTGAGTGTAACTCGCTATGGATCCAACTAATATTTACATTCACACAGGCAGAGATCTATTACTCTACAAAAAAAAAAATCCTTGTGCACACCAGCTTTAGCTAATCCATCAGTTATTGAGTGTAACTCCCTATGGATCCAACTAATATTTACATCTATCAAATCCAATAATATCACTAGCCTCAGCCAAGTGGTGAGCCAGTCTCTTTGGACCATATTTCTTTTCCCCTAACCATTTTATGGCATTTGCAGAATCACCTTCTATTGTTATGAGAGATATGCTCAAATCTCTTGCAATTAGAAGCCCTGCTAGAGCAGGCAAAGCCTCAGCCTTTGTAGAGTAAGCAATCCAATTTTTTTCCACCAAAAACCCCGCAAATGTTTCCATTCCTTTCCCAGATTACACCTCTTATCCTCATCTTACCTGGATTGCCCATTGGCACTACCATCAAACTTTAATCTAATCTCCATCTCCTTGATTGTGGTTGTGGTATGGACCCGGGGGGAAGGTAAGCTCAACCACATTCCTTTGCAGGTCACTCACAGAGATTCCTTTAAATTTCGCAGAATTTAGCACCTGGATGTTGCACAAGTTGTATTGGTGATCTGTCTCCAGAGGATCGGGCTTTGTTTTCAAAGATAGGATTTCCTTTCTTCCCATACCCCCACATCATAGCATGTTCAACATTCCCCTGCCACTGCCAGAGAAAATCCATAATATGCTCAGGTAGTCAGGTGTAACCCAGCTATAACCAATAAGGTTGAGAAAATGGTGCCAAATTCTCCTTGTATTTGGGCAATGAAGGATGTGCTCAGCTGATTCTAAACTTCTCTATCTTCTTCCTATTTTCTCTTCTTCATTCTATTTCATCACATACTTCTGACTAGCATTTTCAACAAGATAAAATCAACAAAACTAGAAGGTAATCTCTCCAACTTGGATTGATCTCAAAGGTACTCCGGAAACTTCTATTCTAGTCCCAAGCGCCACTTTGAAACTCCCTCTATACCCCTTAATCTAAAACTCTCCAAGAACCTGCCCTGGGCCCCAAACATGCACTGTGATCTTGTCCAAAAACCTCCTCTAATTGGGCTGAATACTTGTTAACTAAACAACCAATCAACTCTCCATACAACCTGTGTATGGGATTAAAAAGAAATAAGGGAAGAAGGTAGGAACTCTGGCAGTCTGGCTCTGATACCAAGATGTAAATCCCACCTGCAAAAATCTGAAATAAAGTTGAAAAGAAGAAACAGTTTGAAGAAGATGGAAGAAAAGGGAAGGAATGAAGAGAGCCAATTGAATCTCTCTCCAGTCCCCCACTATTGTATTTTATTCTTTGATTGTAAAAAGAACACAGTTACATGAATACCCTTCGTAGGGAGGCCAGCACTAGAAACAATATAAAATGAAATAAAACAGGCCCATAACTAGGGCCCACTAAACGCAGATATAAAGCATAAACAGAAATACGTAAACAATAATGAACTATGGCCCATTTGGCCCATCATCTCTATAATATTATCTATCATTCATTCTATTGGCATCTCCTCTATTAGCCATTTTGGGTCTTGGTTGGTGATCTTCAGACTTCAGCCATTTGCAGAAAGAACATACATGGATGAATCCTAACATCCTGTGTGTAAGAAAGAACCAGCTGGTGTACTGCCACAGATCAAGATGCTAGCTGTAATATCTCTATTTTGATTGGAGAATTGGATTGTAGTATAACTGACAAGGTCAGATAATTCTGAGGCTTGGATAACACTGCCATAGATCAAGACCTCATCTGTAGGGCAGTGCCTCTGTTTTAGGAGAACTGGAAGGGTAATAGGACCAATGATCCAAAGCTTGGTTAATTTGGAGGCTCGCCATCGGTGATCAGTGGAAACCCTCTAACTACATGATCGTGGGTATAAATCAAATAATATAGATCTTGTGTTTGCAAATATGAACAAGTTCCCATCTGGTAACAAATGCAAGAATGGGTATAAGTGTATAAGTTGTTCTCATTGTTATCTCTTTCTCTCAAAAATTCAGCCAGAAAGTGTTTGATGAAAACCCTTTAGGATAGAATTCATAATTACATTCTCTTCACCGTGCACCAGCTTTCTGTCATTTGTTCTTTTATATGTTTTTGTGTAATTTCTGTTATGTATTTCCTGTGTTTTTATAATTTTTGTTATATTTTCCTGCAATTTCTATTATTTTTTTGTATTTTTTTTGTTTTTCTCTATGTTATGTTATACTTTTGTGTAATTTCTGTTATTTTTTTTGCAGTTTCTATGTTTTTTATAATTTATGTATTTTATTCCTACAATTATTATTTTTTTCATTTTCTATGTTTTGAATAATTTTTGTTATATTTTCCCGTAATCTATTTTTTTCTTTTTGCATTTTTGTAGTTTTTTAATTTCTGTGAGCAAAACTGAGAACAAGAGAGAGTAGATTCAGGGGTGTCAAGAGTCAAGAATGGTCGACCCCCACCCCAAAGAGCCCCTTTTATATTAAAAGATATGTACAATTACAAGAATACCCTTATATGGCTGAAAGATAAAAATAACAAATAAAATAATAAGAGTACTGTACAACAAGGACTATACTAATAATATACATCAAAATATATCTCCACACTCCCCCTCAAACTGATGCGTAGACATCAGCATCAGTTTGCCCATAAGAATGAGGTGTCGACTCTTAGTCATGGCCTTGGTGAAGATGTCGGCGATCTGCATGTGAGAGGGTACATAAGGAAGAGATATAGAGCCAGCAATGAAAAGGTCTCTAATAAAGTGACAGTCCACCTCGATATGTTTAGTCCTCCCATGGAAGATAGGATTAGATGCAATCTTGATAGCACTTGTATTGTCGGCATATAGAGGGATAGGAGTAGGAAGTTGAGTATGAAGATCCATGAAGAGAGACTTCAACCAAATAATCTCACTACAAGTAGAAGACATGGCTCTATACTCAGATTCAGTAGAAGACTTAGAGACAGTTTGTTGTTTCTTAGCATAATCTGCATTAGCATAAACTCTCAACTGTATGGGTGATGAGGAAGAGAAAAACAGTCCCTGAGAAGTTGTGTCTCTAACATAATGTATAATGCGATGAACAACAGTCATATGAGGTTGATGAGGGGTAGAAACAAACTGACTAACGACCTGAACAACATGTGAAATATTAGGCCAAGTCATAATGAGATAGATCAGAGACAAGCTGACAATACAAAGTAGCATCAGGAAGAACTAGGCCTTTAGGTTTAGACAACTTGACATTCGGCTCCAGAGGGCTATCAATGTGTTTCTCATCAGTAATTCCAGCTAGTTTGACGAGATCAAAGGCATATTTTTACTGACAAATGAAATACCCTCGACTACTACAATGGACTTCCAAACCCAAGAAATAAGTAAGAGGGCTCAAGTCCTTCATGTGAAAGGAGTTATGAAGTATGGACTTCAACTCACAAATGCCATCATAATCATCCCCAGTTAAAAGCATGTCATCTACATACAACAGTAAAATAGTAATACCATGGGGCCTTCTCCTAACAAAGAGAGAGTAATCAGAGGAACTCTGGTTATACCTAGCTGCAACAACATCTCGAAAGCGCTCAAAGAAAGCCCTGGGTGCCTATTTCATACCATATAGGGATTTCTTTAGGTGACAGACACGTGAAGAATCACTGCAATATCCAGGCGGAGGCTTCATGTAGACTGTCTCCTTCAGTTGACCATGAAGAAAAGAATTCTTCACGTCTAATTGGTAGATAGTCTAGGAATGAACAACAGATAAGGCTAGAAGAATGTGAACTGTGGTGATCTTAGCAACTGGGGTAAATGTTTCTTCATAATCAATCCCATATTCCTGACTATATCCTTGGGCAACTAACCAAGCCTTATATTGATCAATGGAACCATATGTTTTTAGTTTGATCGTGTAGCCCCAATGACTTCCAACAATAGAAGCATCTGGAGGAGTAGGTGCAAGATCCCAATTATCATTCTCATGGAGGGCTCGAATTTCGACATCCATGGCTTCTTTCCAATGAGGACTTCTAATGGCTTGCTGATAAGAA